TCACTCTGCGAATTCTAACCAAAATATGCGCATATTTCTCACTCGTTTATTCCACATTCTCATCTCTTCACTCGATATTTGGTTCAACATCATTTATATTTGAGATGCCTACTTAGGAGGCTTGAGTCCATTCGATTTTTGTAAAGTTGGTGGTGATTGGACTGGTGTAGCCAATCGCGAATGAANGCATCGGAAGAAGTCCAGCCACAACTGATGTGTCTCTAAACTTCGAGCAGTAACCCGAGGATCAAGATATCATCAAAAATTATCAAGTTTTTGTAGATATCTCATTGCAAAATGTCAACGTACTGTCTGTTTCATTAGCTGAATGCATTCGAAATGATTACAGCGAATAAATTTGACTCTAGAGAATCAAAATCGAGAGCTGCGTTGAATTGGTTTACTTGCAGCAAATGATATATTGTAGCTAAGGACAGTCAACATCGCTACGTACAGTCAAATTTCCTATTAAAATTGAAAGCTATCGATATACCTTGTTATTCGCAATCTTTGTCGCATGTACTTGAGGGTAGCTAATTTAATCAAGGAGAGAAAAACAATACAGAAACATACACCTGCAATGATCACTTAGTTATTTCTTCGAACATTCAAGCGATTCAATTGTTCGAAATTAAAATCTTACTCAAGTTTAGGTTCTTTATATTCAGTTGAAAAGGAACTCGCCATTGCATAAAGAACCAAAAAGCAAGAGTTTTGGAGGTGCGTAAAAAGGATTGCCACTAAATGAAAACTCACCAAGATAAACGTCCATTGCTTTGATATAGCTAACTCTCGGCATTACTTCATTGTATGAAAAGAGCAAAAATGTAATGGTCAATATTATTGAGATCATATCCTGAAATGCTCCGGATTCATTTTTCATTCCACTTCAACGCTATTGCACTGAATGATCCAACATAATTCCGAGACATAGTCAATTCTGTGAAACGAATGCATAATGGACTTTTATAATGAAGGATGATATTGAGATAAAGCTATGATCTCTTGTTTATTGTTTACAGTTTCTTGTATGTCTGTCTATAGTGCTTTGCATATCGTGTATTCTCTGACCACCATTGGCAACTCGTAACCATTGTTTCGTAATCAGCTAATCCCAATGACCATATAAGTAGCTCAGTGTAGTTAGTTAGTGAGTCAGCGCCAAGCGGTGTGTTGACGGTGAACTCAGTGTTGTCACTTGCAGTTATTGGAGTGTTGTACTCGCTATCGTCGGCATCTTTCGCAATCATCAGTTGTATCATAACCCTACTCAATCATCATTATCGTCCTTATTCATTAGTGTGGGTCCTTATCTTCACATCATCAAAAACTAACATCACAAACGTATAAGACAGAATCTCCAGTTTTGCTACTGGACAAGCTATCGACACGATGTGATCACAACTCTCAATATGATCAAAATGGCGCTCTATTTTGAGCAAAGCCTCAAACGTTGAAAGGCTAAGAAGTCAACAACTGCTTCGAATGGCGATTCTTCGAATGAGCCGACCTGGAATGATGTTTCATTTTCCATCCATAGTGAGACCCATGAGGTGATCACAACTGCAGTTGACGGAATAATTAGCTGAAGGAAGCAGAAGCCTGCGGTTCGGGATAGTACAAAGCATACGTATAAACGACTGTAGTTTCCTGTAAGGTTTATGGATGAGAGTCAACGATCAAGAATAGCATGAAGAAACAGTGCAGAACTGAACAAAATGATTTTATCGAGGCATTCACATCTCAGGATCAAAAAGATGTGCTTGGAAGTTGGAATGCTGAGAGATTAACTTTATCAAGCGATGCGAAACCACGGTTGATTTGCTGAAATAAGCCAATCAACAAATTCAAGAAGATAACAACTGCTCTAGATTCACCTGTTGCGTACATTTCCGTTTGGCTGGTCACAAACGCTTCTTTGATCTGAAAATCCGGCAGTCGAATCTTATGAAGCTTGAGCGCTTGCTTTTCACCGGTCGACCACACGTAACGAACCTGATCGGCCGTGTAACCATCTGAATCAAAAGAATCAAAATGTTCGTAACTGCGAGGTGCATTCAGCCGCTTACACATGCACAGGTGACTACTCACAGCTTTCAACGCCCAATTTGCAAATCTGAGTGTCAAACGGAAACAGCGTTAGATCCATCGGGCATTCGGCCACTACCGACAGTCGTCTACTGTACAGCACCCTTCCAGAATTCTGCAACCTGCAATTCGATGTGTTTAACATGAATTTCCGAATTCTTCCCGAGTGGGCTGGATAATTGAGTCAGAATTTCAAGCTGCCAGAATACGTAACCTCAGCCTACAGGATGTGCTCAGCGTAAGAAATATCACTTGTTATCAATAGTGATGGCATGGGACCGAAGTTTGGTTGAAAAACTCCAACAAATTTCGGTTGGAATTCCAAAATTCGAAATGCGACGGAATAATTTCGAAGTTCAGTTGGATTTTTGAGTGTCGAAATGTTGAGAAGTCAATTCGGTGGAATTTCGACCGAATTAAAGTTTTGTTCAGATGTCATCAGTAGTTATCACTGAAGATGAAAATGTCCTATGAACCTCAGTAATGAACGATGCGAGATTGATTGCTTCGTTGGGTTTTTTGATGCGATCGCATTGGGCATGAATGTGTCCGGATGCCAAATGAAATTGGTATAGCTCTCGTGTAGAGCGATTTCGGACTTGTTTTGAAAGTTCAGTTTATCGTACGATAGACGGCGGTCGAGCCACGACTCTCGGTAGAATAGCTCCAGATTGTAATTCTGAATGCAACAATTCAATTATTCACTGGTTCAGATGCATATACGTTTTCGAACTCTTCAAATGAGTGTTTCCTGCTGGAACGGAGATGTAAATTATGAAGAAAAGAAGCCATTGCGAAGCGGCTAAGAATCATTAACCAATCCATTAAGTGACGGGATGCAACTATATTCCACGTTTGCAGTCAAATTCGAACGTGCCATTAGTTTGTTAGCAATAAGATATTGCTGGCTGGGTGCAAAAGGACTCGAAGAATAAATTCTTAATGGACCTAAAAGCCTTTCACAGGTCTCTAATTGAAAAGAAGAGCACAGATCAAATATATGCGTTCAAGCCTCTTCACTAAAACTTGTAAGAACGTCATCTTTCACAATAAACAATACTTTTTTTGCACAAAGCACAAAAACTTTGTGCAAAGAATTTGCACAAAGTGAAGAAAATGCAAAGCATTCACCATGGTGACTTCAGATACCGCACGAATATTACTGACGACAATCGATACGTGAATATCGACAGCTTCTAAAACCAGAATAAAGCGTCACTGGTTTGCGCCCAAAAACTACACATAATTCAGCATCTTCGGATTGCCAGGAATATGATTGAAACACTTAATTCTCCATACGCGAATAGATTCTAAGAAAACTGGCTTCGATGCATGAAGCTAAGAAACACCACTGAATCAACTAATAAAATTTAGTTCTTGCAAATTAGCGTTTGGACCGGCAAAGATTTCTTCACTGTCAAGCTCATCAAATTGTTTCGCCTGTACTACATCCCAAACAGTCAGTTGGCGATTAAAAGTAAAAATTTTCAGTTACTGATTCCATGGTCATGTAAAAGCATTCAGTGACATACATACCATCATTTCCGTTGTCTGGCAACTGTCTATGATCATATTTAATTCGGTGCAAAAAATGCAGAAAATCCAACGTTTCTCTGAAAGATGCACACAGCTTTTATATTCGTAGGTATAAAAATGAATATCTTGCTTCATTAGCAAATGTTTCTCAGTATCACTGAGTAGTACCACCATCCATAGCCATCCTGCATTCCTGTCCCATGTGTAACTAATGAAATCGCTCAGTTTGAAAACCCTCAGACATTGCGATTATGTTAGTGAACTCGAAATTGGTGTGCTCCAACAATGAATAGTCATAATGGATTGATTTGGAGCAATCAAACAGCCACGGTATCTACCATTCCTACTCCATGCTATCGAACTATACCCTTGTTGAAATATCGACTCCTTCGTGAGCCTAGTGTACCGTGGTATGAGTTCGTAATCCATTTCTGCATCTTCAACATCCTCAAATATATCATTAACGGACAAGCCTTGGTTCACACCAATCTTACTCATCAGACCACCTTTCACTGCTTGAACCTGCAAAATCGCATCAATTCTTCACAGCCTTCTCAACATGACCGAATCAATGCAACAACATTTGCAACCTCATTCTCAAAATGTAGTACGTTTCCTCAAAATCAGTGGTGAACCATGCACAAGACAAAAAAGGCGAAGTTCTCTTGAAGGAAATTAACTCGAGATTAATTTGCTGAAAGCATTGACTATTGTGATAAATGAGCGTAAATCAATTATCACCTCTGCAAACCGAGAGCAAATTAACAAAGCGGTCGTAAGTACTGATGAAACTGTGTCCGCTCTAAACTGCATCTTGCGTCCGTTACCAGGATTCATGCAGATGCCTTTGCGCAACCATTCCATCTTGCTGGAGAATTTCATCTTGTTTAAGATAACCTCACTCCATATTAATAACGATAATGGAAGCAATTCGCATTAGTTGATCGATATCATATATCAAATTCACATACTGTTGCAAATTTCAAGGGTGAGCAGATAGCAGAACACGATAAAAGGGTTTGCAAATTTGCAAATATCAAGGTTAAGAGCTAAAATTACGAAAAAAACATCAGTAACACTGAATTAGAAATTCTATTGCCTCTGTGTAAAAGCATAAAACTTGCGAATTGCAGCTGCCATAACAAGATCACTCTCGTATTGAAATCCATAGCTTTGCCAGCTTCAAAGTGTTTCATGACTGGAAAATTAAAGATATCATGCTAAAACTGAACACAGACAGACAAGTTTGCTAATTTCTTTAGAGTCCAAGACAGATCAAAAAGCCATGATGAATACACTCAAATGATCGAAAGTTTGATTTGATTACACTGAAGAAAATATTTCTGAAGGATGAATCGTCGCCTGAAACTTGAGAACGTAAACGCGAAAAACTGGACTGATCTCGGCAAACTGCATCACATTCTATTAAGTTTATGGCCATGTCCTAATGGATAGATAAGAAGCGGAAATTCGTTCATCAAATCCCAAGAACAGACTTCACAAGCATCCCATCAAAACCACACGAACGATTGTTTTGTCCCACATTTAATAAATCACTCAATAAATTATTCGCTTGAATAGATCTCATCGATTCAAAAAACACACTCAGCTTTACCGTTACTTCAACTCATGAATATGCAAAGAAGAATGACAACAGTATCGATTTTGATGATTTAGAAAAAATCGCCTACGTAAGAAGAACCTTACAATCAGAGTATCTGTGTGAATGATCCGTTGTGAACGATTGGATTGGCAAAAAGCTTTTATGGCTTGTCTCCTTTATTCGGTGGATGAATTCAGCCACGAAAAGTGAGCGTTGAAGATTTGGAGCATGTGGTCCTGATAGAAAAACGTTATTGGTGCAAGTGTGAAAAGTGCAAAGGAAGAGAGGAAATATTGAGAGAGCGTTGTTGTTGAACGATGGGCGGCTTTCGTTCAGCAATTGGTTTTGAGCCTGGCTGGAACAATGACTGTCAAGCGAGCAGTGCTTCATGGACTAGTTCACGATTGCTTGAAAAATGAATTATTTGCAGAAATCAAGGAGCATTGAAGCGATATGCAAGACATAAATCTTTTATGCAGGAGCACAACTTTCAGTGCGATCGAATTGAAGTCATCAGTGTGAAACTGATGATATCGATAATTCTTAGAAGTTTCGACAGCTGAACTGAATCTGAACAGCGTCATTCCAATAGAGTTTTGAAAAATTCATTTTGAATTCCATCATTGTCAAAAACTACAGACATTAAAATTGTTTGGACTAGATCAATAGGAACGAGTGAAGAGCATTTCAATTAAGTTGTCACTTCAGATGAAATGAAAATTGAATGATAAACAAGGGAATTTTTTCAAACCATCAAATGAATTGACATCTTGGGAACTAGACGCTTCAAAATGGATAGAACCCGAAAAAATATGTGGAATTCAAATTGAGTCACGATTGCTTACCAGTGAAAAGATGCTCAGAGCGTGATCGACCAGCCCGATAAAATCCGA